ATTAATAATAAATTTAAAAAAAAGAAAAAAATTTACTTCTAATCACTTTTTTTATTTTTTTTTTAACACCTTCCATATCTTTTGGTTTTCTTATGGGAAAGGAACAACAACAATTCCAATTGGATCCAGAGTTCTCTTGTTTTACTTTCAAGTCCATTTACATTTCCATGCTAATCTTCTCTGTATCGTTCCACTTTTAGTATATGTGCTGCTAAAGCGAACAAAGAATTAACTTCTACTTTCTATTATTTTATGGCTGATACAATCTTTTAGCTCTAACTCTGATCCCACCAAGTCCTGCAATGTTAGGCACAACTATTGTAATTCTATTTTGTTTTGTTTTTTGGTGTACCGTCGAATCGGATCCAACTGGCACAGGAGGAGATTGCCCCTCCTTCTCCAGCGGAGCATCTTGGTGGATTCAAACCATGCGTCTTTGGGATTGCTGCACAGCTTCTTGACACTAGGCCACCAGAGCTCCCTACAACTATTATAATTTTAAAACTGTAAACCATAAACGTTAGAGTCACAAATGCTGCTATATAATGCTGTCAAGCCAGCCTCTGACTCATGCTAAATCCTTCAGCATGCATGACTGTTTCCCAAAAGGACAACTGTGATCCACAGGACTTCCAAAGGCTGATTTTATTTTTCAAAAGCAGATGAAAAGGCCTTCTGTCTTTGTCTTTCTGTCCTCACTCATCTTAGTCCTGGAGCTCTGCTGAAACACATTCAGCATCAGAATAAAATATAAATCTCCAAAGACTACTAGGTGAATGGTGTCTACCATGACATACACCAACAGGGAATAAAATTCTTGTCTCTTACATAGAATACAAGAATGCACTCAAGTCACAACTGTACTCAAAAATTCATTGTTGGAATCAACCTATAGCTGACACTCCAGTGGGTTTTCAGAGGCTATAAATCACACAGGAGGTGACTGCGCATTTTCCTCCAATGTAAGAGCTAGTGATTCAAATCACTTGCCTGGAATGGCAATGCAATTCCTCACACCAGGCCACCAGAGATCCCTAAGTCACAATTACATCCTCTTAATCAATCAAAACAGTCAAAGTCAATTTTGGTCTTCAATGATATTACACCAGGATTGTACATACTAAACACTGCAGACATAATTTCTAGAAATCAATTAATTAAGTTTACATGATAATTCTTTTTCATCCCACGTATCTTCCATGCTGTCATTCAGTCATGCAATATTCACAAAGCTATTAAATACAAACAGAAATTTACCTGAGATAAGACTTCTTTTGGAAGGAGCTGCTCAGGGGGAAGAGTCCACCATATATCACTGCCATGTTCTTCTACCATTTTAATAATATGCTCAATGGTTTGGCTATTTTGGGGCATAAAGGTAAATTTTTATAAATAACTGTTGTGCTTAACACTGATTTGTTAAAAAATTATAAAACTAAATATTTTCAACAAGGTTGTCAAGCTCACTGAATGGAGAAAAATAATTTCTTCAACAAAGGATTATGAAACAACTAGATTTCCACATGAATGACACTGGACCCTGACCTCACATTATATACAAAAATTAACTCAAGACGATGACTTAAATATATAAAACCATAAAAATGCTTATAAGCAAAATTTCATGATCTTGAACTACCAATAAAAAGTTAAACTGAATCTCATAAAATTAACAAATTATCAAAATACATAAAATTGTCAACATACAAATGTGAAAAATCACCTATCTAGGAAGGAAGGATTTAACATAAAAAAGACAGAACTCTTAAAACCATAGCTGTATTAAGGCAAATCAATTGAAAAATATGTAAGGGACTTAACAGACATTTCTTTCCAAAAAATATAATAGAAATAGCCACTAAAAATTATTAGTGACTAGGCAAATAAAAGCCAAAACAACATGAAATATCACTTAATATCCATTAGAATGACTAGTAGTATAAAGACACACAAAAAAGAAAATAATACATGCTAGCCAGGAGATGGAAAAATCGAAACTTCTGGAAATAAAAGTGTAGAGTCTGTGGAAAACAGCTTGGCAATTCATCAAAATGTGAAACACAAAAATATTATATGACTCAGCAATTCTAGTTCCATATAAATAGGCAAAAGAACTATTTGCATTATTCACAATAGCCAAAAGATAGAAATAACCCAACTGTCCATTAGCAGATAAAGAAACAAAATGTGGTATATTCAAGCAAAGGAGTATCATACAATATAAAGAAAAGTAAAGCTCTGATAATACATGTTAAATCTTAAGTTAACTCTGAAACTTTGAAACCGGACAGCGGGCTCTCCAGCAGGTTTTCAGAGACTGTAAATCAAAAAAAAGGAGACTGCTCATCTTTCTCCCAAAGCACATCTGGTGGATTCCAACAGCCTGCCTTTTTAAACGGTTGGCAGTGCAACTCATGAAATAGGCCAGGTGCAAAACTACAATTGTCCATATATGAAATACTGACAACACACAAATTCAGAGACAAATGCATTTGCAATTGGTCCCCACAAGTTATGGAGAAGAGTTGAGTGAGGAACTCTCGCTGAATACAGGGTTTTTTTCTTTGAGTGATGCAAAAGTTTTGAAAACAGACATTGGTAATGACTGTCTTTTAATGTAATTAATGTCACTGAATTATATCCTTAAAAATTTTGAAATAATCAATTTTCTAATTTTTCATATAAACCAATGTATGGTATTTATATAAACTGTAGATATAATTTTAAATTGGTGATTTTTAATCATGTATAATTTGTTATATTTATATAATCTTTACATTAAAACAAACATACTTAGGAATATCTGCAGATAGTAATTATCTGTAGTTAAGATCTTTCCTCCTAAACTTAAGTTGTATAGCAACCTGCGTGCCTGGTTGCTGTCATCGCAACTTCAATACAGGGAAAATAAAACAGATTATATATATTCTTCTAAATACAGACAGACAAAACTTCTCCTAATATCTCTATTTCAGTCACCCATTTCCCTATGACTAAAGATCCAGGTACCTACATTCAAACCATCCCAATTATTTCTCCATCTCAATTAATGGAACACATTATGTCAACTTGGAAATACTGTTCAAAGTATACTTCACTGACAGTATCTTAGTCCAAACTCATAACTTAAATAATGCCAAGATTTGACGTTTCCCCTACTCTCATTTAAATTACTTTTTACTTTAATTTTCTTTATTTTGTTTACATTTTACTTTACATAACACACCTTGAAAGAGTGCATTTCTAAAACTGCTTTACCAACCAATCCCTTGCTCAAAATTTTCCAATGGTCCCTCACTGCTTGCAGGACTAAATCTATGGGCATAGTAATAATCTATGTGCATAAGAGGCCACAGTGTCACAGTGGAACCCGGACTTTGCTAACAAAATGCACAAGTCTATATTCTGATTCTGCTACTTTTTAAACAGGTGACCATGCACAAGTCCCAAAACTGCTCAAAGTTTTGGCTGTCCTGTCTGTTAAAGAGAACAATATCACTCATTGATTCAAAATCTATTTATTGAGTACATATAATGTTGTAGGTCCTGTTCTAATAACTGGAGACACAGCAGATGAGAAAACAAACCCTAGTGAACTTATATTTGAGAGATACTTTCCTCAGAATTTTTTAAAACTAAGTAACATAAAACTCAGTGCAGTGCCTACCACAAAACAGAAGCCTAATAAAATTTATAAAATGAATATTAAAATTGATCATATTCCTTTGGAAGAAATATAAATGGTTTTCAAAATGGATAGTGCAGTTTTCCACAATATACTTTCAATTTACTATACTATTTAGTTTATCAGATCTTTATTGATATTATGACTACTTGTTGCTTTTCATTAAGTAGACATTTATACTTTCTATGAAGATGGCACCAAAAGTGAAGAAGGAAGCCCCTGCCCCTCCCAAAACTGAAGTCAAAGCAAAAGGCATTAAAGGCCAAGAAGGCAGTCCTGAAGGGCATCCACAGCCAAAAAAAAAAAGGGAAGATCCACATGTCACCCACTTCATGCAGCCTAAGACGCTGAGACTCCGACGGCAGCCCAAATATCCCCGGAAGAGCACCCCCAGGAGAAACAAGCTTGACCACTACGCCATCATCAAGTTTCCCCTGACCACTGAGTCAGCTATGAAGAAGACAGAAGGTAACAACACACGTGTGTTCACTGTGGAAGCCAAAGCCAACAAGCACAAAATTAAACAAGCTGTAACCAAAGCTCTATGACATTGATGTAGCCAAGGTCAACATTTTGATTAAGCCTGATGGAGAGAAGAAGGCTTATGTTTGACTTGCTCCTGACTATGATGCTTTAGATGTTGCCAACAAAACTAGGTTAATCTAAACTGAGTCCCGTTGGCTAAGTCTAAATACAAATTTTTCTCACCATGAGAAATAAAAAAAAAATTATAAAATGGGCAAGAGTATGGACTCAGGAGCCAGACAGCTTCAGTTTAATTCCTGGTTCTGCCAGCTACATGCATCAACATACTCGGTACCAGCAATCAAGAGATCTACTGCGCTGGGAAAGCCTGCAGTCAAGGACCTCTCCAAATTTTTCTTTTAATTATTATTTTTGTATGTGTGTACTGTCAAATCGGATCCAACCAGTAAAGGAGGAGACTGCCCCTCCTTCTACAGTCGAGCATCTGGTGGATTGGAACCAAGTGTCTCTGGGATTGCTGTGCAGCTTCTTGCCCCTAGGCCACCAGAGCTCCCTCTCTCCAAATTATTGAGGAGCAATGTCATCAGTATTCAGACTATGGGCTTTTCAATCACATTCTATGCAACTGTGAGCCAGACAATGAATGACAGAAGAAGAATTCACGTCTTTAAACTGTTGTGTTGGAGAAGAAAACTGGCTATCCCACAGACTGACAAAAGAACAAACTGGTATGTCTTGGAGAAGTTCCAAAGTTCTCCTTGGAGACAAAGATAGCAAAGTTTCTTCTCACATACTTTGGGCATATGGCTAGGCGAGGCTATTCCTTTGGGGACTGACATCATGCTTGGAAAGTGGAAAGACAACAAAGAAGAAGGAGAACCTCAAACAGGTGGCATGACACAGTGATTGCAGCAATGGATTGAGTGTGTTAGAGATTGTGAAGATGCCACAGGATAGGACAGGGCTCAGATCTGCTGTTCAGAGTTGCTATGAGTCATTTTCGACTCAATAGTACCTAAAAACAACCAGTTATGTGACCAAGGCATTAAGGATCTGTATACCTCAATTTCCTCATCTGCAAAATGAAGATAACAGTATCTTTCAAAGAGTCATAATATTAACAAAGCCAAAATACTTAAAATTTTAGAAATTTCAAAATTTTAGCTTGTTAGAACAATGTCAACTAGTAGTTACAATGTAAGCATGAGCTACTATTCAAACAAATTCTTTGAAGTTGGATAAATTTAGATGGAGTCATTTCTGTGCTAATGAAGTGCTAAAACATTCATAAATACTATTAATCACAAATACTATTGTAAACTTTTGTATTGTCCTCTCTTCTACCATACTCCATTCAAGTAACTAAGAATTAACTGTGGGTCTGTAGCAGCCAATGGAAAGGATACTAGGAAAAAAAGCATTACGTCTATCTAAAGGAGATCTGGTGGTCCAATCCATAGGGAGTTGCCCAGCAAACAAAAAAGTATTAATCCATCAGCTGCTCCATGGGAGAAAGATGGGCAATCCCCTTCCTCCTATGTGATTTGCAGCCTCTGAAAACCTGATGAAGGGTTGTCTAGCTACAAACTGGTTCTGACTCAATGGCAATGGATTTGAGTGGGAGAGATCCACTTCTTTTTCCGTCCCTGCCTCCACCTCTGAATAATCATGACTCCATGGGGAAAATCAGTGAACTCAGGATCTAAAAAATTACAGGTCAAAGTGACTTAGTTGCAAAAAATTGTGTGGCAAAGTAAAAAAATTAAATGATTAAATAAAAAAGTATGCTATGAAACGTTAAACCAGATGCTCTGCTAGAGAAGGAGGGGCACTCTCCTCCTTTACCAGTCAGATCCAATTTAGCAGTACACACACAAAATATAATAAAATTTAAAAAAAAATGCTAAAGATTTCAGTAAGTTAGGAAGGCTGAGACTGAAAAATGCAATGCTCCAAGTATCTCCTCTGAAGAAATTCTAAATAACAATAATGTAAAATGGTCTAAATTTTTAAGACAGCCATTCATTACAGATGAACTTTAGCAGTAAAGATAAACTTACGTGATGTGAGACAATAAAAACCTGGTGCAATAAATACTTGCTTATATGACAATACTATTTAGTTAAACATTATTTTTCTACAGTTTACACAGAAAATTTTATCAGTTAAGAAGATACGAATAAACCTAA